CTCTAGCTCAATTAGGGGCGAATCGCCGAAGGGGGTTGTTTCCTCACTTCCAACCCCCAACGCCCCCTCGGTATTCAGAAAACCTGAAGGTCCGGTGAGGGTTAAAACGTTTCTCCTGAACGAGGAAGAAATGTAAAAGTCAAAGCTCTATAGACGTCCTGTAAAAGTGGCCATAATAATAAATTCGTTAGAAATAAGATGCTTTTTAAACGACTTCCTCATATAAAATCGGGTGCTGGGACCAATCTTATAAACGCTTTAGAATGGACAGGGCGTCACTGGCTAAAGTTTGGGTGCAGAAAACGGCTATTACCTAAATGCAAAATGGTTTTCATGCATTTCAGTCAATTGTATATTGTCGGGCCCAGTGGCCGAGCTAAAAAAAAAAAAAAAAAAATCGGTAGTGTTTTGCATCTTTTACGCCCTAAGAAACTACACCATCTATCGAAGTGGGCGGGCTTATTTGAATGGGAGGGCGCATTATGCACGAATCGTGTGCTTTCGTTTGTTTTGGACTGTAGTGTATTTTACCACATCCACTGCTGGTATCACTATTAATATTATCTAATGCCGCGAATACGACAGCATTCCATTTATAAGATTGGGCCAATGGAGTCGCGCCCCGCGAGCTCGGTTTTCCGCTGGGCCGCTACAGGCCAGGAAGTCGGTCTTCGCCTGAGGGCAGGACAAAGGTCAGCGAGGGAGCGCGGGGTCAGCCAGGTATCGCCCAGTGCCGAGCGGATGCCGCTCCCTCCCCTCTCTTCCCCTCTTCTCCCCTCCCCACCTCGGTATTGATGGGGAGGGACCGAACTGCCAATGACATGCGAGCGGTCAAGGCCGCTCGCGCGGCAGCGACCCTGGCGGCCGGGTGCCGCAACTGGGATTCAGCCAAGTTACCGATTCGCCTCCTGTGGGAGAGCCAAACCAGGGGACATACTTTTTAGATACACTGTACCTGAAAAAGAGATCAATTGGTTTAATTTACATTGCATGTTTGCTTGAAAAATAACTTATTGTTGCATTAATACTGTAACAGCACTTCTCATTGATCCGTATAAAATGTTCATTCGAATTTTTCAACGCGGACAGAGAATGAGCGTGCTCGGTGATAAGTAGATAAATATTTGTGTTTTGTATTTCATTTTCCTGGTTCAGAAGTGCTGGTATTTCACAAAGATATACATAAAGGCACGGAATGCGGCTTTTCTGAGCGAGGGTATAAGTCGCCAGGCTGAACAGCTATTCAGCTTCATGTTTGATGGCGTGAAACTCAGTCAAAATAATGACGTTTACATACGATCAAGCGCACCATTCAATACAATTACCTACCGTAAAACTCCAATGCCAGTCCACTTGATAAGAGCAATGAGCACTATCCCTTCTTCGCGCTGTCACACGCGCCCAAACATCAACCACCAAATGCCCCAACACCGGTGTGTCGTTTCGTCGCACAGCGCGCAGACTGTCACAAACGCTGCACATGATTGGCGCAGAACTGCGCATGCGCGAACAGCCGAACAAGTATGGCTAAACTCCGGCTTTACTCCAGTTAGCCGAAGGACACAGCCAGCTTGATCGGCCCGCGCTCCGCCCAAGTTAAGCCTGTTTTGGATGCGTGGGCAGATGTCGGGCTGAGCTACTGCTATCCGCACGTGGGCATAGCTGCGGCATGCCCAAGCTCAGCCCTAGTAAAAAATACATTGGTTTTGATCAAAGTGGGCAAACCCAAGCTAAGCCCAAGCTGCCCGACGTTTGCCACAATTCAGCCCAAGTGAATTGCTGGCTGGGGTAAAGGTCTGAGGTTGGTAGCATGTCAATCACTTTAAACAATGGCCTTTAGTTGCTAATTTCACTTTTATGTACTTTGTCATCGTGTCAATTAAATGTGCTAGTTGTTGTACAGTTGACCTATTGACGTAACTAAGATTAAGCATTAGCTATGTGCCGCGCCCGTAGGGGAAGTTGGGGGAACGCCGAATACTTTTTTTCTGACGCCCGTAGCACGCAAGGTAGACAACATAAGCTATTTTTGTTGGCGTCATTCGAGAGGCCAGTCTTTTGCCTTTCAAACATACCAGGCGCATTTGATGAATTCGCATACCGTTAAGCGCACAAACTAAAAATATCAAAGAAGTGACTTTTTCGGCGTTGCCCCGGACTGCGGGGAAAGCCGAAAATGGGAGAAATGATCTACGGGGAATGCCGACATTGATGTTTTGCCACTTTATCTCAAACTTTATCCAGAATTTATCAAAGCTGACACGCGTTTTAAGAGCTTGAGGACGCTTGGTGCACACTGGAAGTTATAATTGTGTGATATAATAAGAAAATGCCAGGTAAATAATTCCTTATAGGTAACAGGCCGTTGTGTCGGTTGAAAGTGTAATTTGTGTGACTAAAAATTCGCGTTGCTATTCTACAGCAGTAAAGTCCACGTAGCGTGCTTTAACGTGCGTAATTGCACGTTTTCGGCATTACCCCAGCCAGCCATACTTTCATTTGCAGGCCCATAACTTTTCAACGTGCCGTACGAGTATAAATTTCAAATAGGCAATTATGCAAAGACATGCTGAAGATTACTTGACCGAATTGGCCAGACAAACGGTAGCATAATGAGTAAGAAATGCAGCTTCAAAGGCGCATGTAGTACAAGGAACGCGTACCTTGAAAACGCTCTTGGCGCCCTCACAGCCGAAGTATTCCGAATGACGACTCGTAACAAACATGCGATAATTGTAGTCACTTAAGCTTCAGAGCATCACTGACAGGTGGCATCCATGTCTTACGGTTTTCGAAATATCTCGAATTTCGGCTTTGCCCCAACTCCGGCATTGCCCCAACTTCCCCTATCTACATAGGTACCTATCTATAATTTCGCATCTGAAGTTAAACTCTTGTTTGTGCCGGCCTTCTTCTAAACGGAAAATAACACTTCTGACCAGAAGTGTCATCAGCAATCAGCATCTCCACCAGGTCAGCACCATCACTCATCAGCATCCTTATTCCTAAGCGTCATCAGCTACACCGTCAGAAACTTCAATAAGTGTTTCCACCATTACCATCAGCCTTCCATCAGCCACCATCAGCCTTCCTCTAGCACAGTCAGTTGCCCGTCATAAGTACCATCAGCCTCCAGTGTCATCAGCCTCCAGTAAGTGTCATCAGCCTATAGTAAATGCCATCAGCCATGTGATCGCCTCGTCGGCAGTGCCATCAGCCGGACAATCAATGACCCTAGTGACGTCACAACACGGTCCTCTCAGCACAGCGTGGTGACGCCAGTGATGTGTCCCAGTGACGTAATCACGGCGTCATCAGCGTGCACGGGTGGCCGGCGCAATCAGCCAGTCGTTCTGTCCGGGCCGTCTGCGTCTGTCGATGGACCTGCTCCCGGCCGCGGCGGTCGGCCGGACAGACAGTCGCACCATTACTGGGCTGCCCGGACCAGCCTCTCCCCTCCCTCTCCTCTCCGCCCCGTGGACACTTCTCCAGCACTAACGAGCGCGCGGCTGATAACCTGGTTATCTGCGCCGCTGCCCCGGCGACGACCCTGGACGCTGGTGGGTGCGGAAGGTCCGCAGGCCGACCACACTGGGAGTAGGCGCACAATCCACGTCAGACTGGGGTGGTGAGGGGGCTGACGTTGGGCTGACGAAACCGACGACAGTCCTAGTAGCGAGCCTCGACTGTCACTGCCTGGGCATACGATAAAAAGAAGCTGCTGATTAAACGTGTTTTGATACGACGGATAAATATGCAGACGGGGATATCCAAACAAGTCATCAATTGCTTATGCATGCGTTAACACTAGGTAGCAAGCGTCTGACATCAGATGTACGGCAATAAAATGGTTTTCCTTTAGAAATTGAAGTTTAGTAGCGAAGTGGCGAAAATTGCGTCAAAGTTAACTATCTACCATGAAAAACGAGTAGCTGCCCTGGGAAATAGTTAGATAAAAGCAAAGAATAATTGATCAAATGAAGTAACAGGCACCCTACTAACATCGTTTTTTTTTCGCAATAAGCGTTGTAGCGGTTTTCCGGATCCTAAATAAACTGTCATGGACAATCTTAATTTTGAGCGGTGTTTTCGAAGTGCTGGAGGGCGTCACTGTTTTTATGAAAGACTTGACAATAGATCACAGAGGTTATGTTAATAGATAATTAAATTGGCCCAGACAAATTGCCAGAAGTAAATTGTTGTGTGATTATTTCAAAGCGTGTGCTTGTTTGATAAGTGGTGCGAGAGAAAGTGGCTGCTTTTTCACTTAGATAGAATTATCTATTTTACAGTGTCGTCTTTGAAGTGAAGGGCACAACAAGGTGACTCGGTCATGCTCCCGGACATGTATTCATTCAAAAAGCTTATTGCACCAGTGGGACCACCCCAGGGGGGAGGGGGCAGCAGCCAGCTCCGCCTGCAGTCTGTTCAGGCGGACAATGGACACGGTACTGCGGCACACACACATACACACAGACAAACGCACACACAGCTGAGCTCAGTGCCGCCGCGCGACCACCCACCGGTCCAACTTCAACACGCTAAAATACTTTTGTCTGACAACAACTCGACGAACTGGCCACCACTTTGACATCAACGGCTGGTCGGCCCGACGGCATCGTCCGCTGCTAGGCAGCGCCGGCGGACCGCGACCTTCCTACTTCACCAATCACTGGTCACATCTCCCGAGGTCTCACGCCCGCGACCCGACCGCCGACCGTTCACCCACACACTGGCACAGCTCTGCTGGGATCGCACCTCCCGTACCACCCCATATCACCACTCCATTGTTCACCGTATCACTCTGAGCACAACGCGTAACAAAATAGCCCTCTGAGCCTAAAAAAGTCGAACTCGGCCCAGTGCGGCCCGGCCGGCCCGGCTGAGTGTCCCCGTTAGAGGTCAGGTCGGGTCACACGGGCGGCAGGTCACGTCGCACTGTGCCCAGCGCCCGGCTGGGCTCTCACAGCGGCACCGGCGGGCCAGCGCCGCGCCCGCTGCTATACCTCGGTAACGTCCCCCGCTGACTCGTCGTAACCCTCGTCGGGACTCTCGTGTAGGCTCGAGTGCGCCGCCGTCACGTGATCGCCGAATTTGACCGCGGGCCCGGCGGGCGGTGGCGCTGGTAGACCGCTGGTGTTGGGGTCACCGCGCGGTGGACGGCGCACCTGGTTGTATGTCGGCACCTCGTCGTCAGTGAAGCCGGCCGGCGGTGCCAGAGGAGGAGGACTGTCCAGTCCCGGCGGACTGGGGAGGCCCCCTTGCAGCGGTGGTGCGGCATCGGCCACCGCCACGGGCCGCGCGGATCGAGGCGGAGGTGGCGGCGGCGGCGGTCGGCTGGATATTGAGACCGACTGCATTTGGAGGAGCTCGGCGGCCGGCGGCTCTGCTGGCCGGCCGTGCGGCCGGTGCCGCGGCAGGCTGCGGTAGCCGGCCGGCGGCACGCCGGCCAGCTGCTGGTGGTAGGACCGACTGCGGCCGACGGTGCCCGAGCGGCGCGGCTCCGGCCCGGGGTGCACGTCCACATGCACCAGCGGCGCCGGCTCGTCGGGCCGCCACAGCGCGCCCAGCCGCTTGGACGAGCGGCGCCGTTCGTAGGTGAAGTCTCCTCCGGAGTGGCGATCAGCGCGGCGCGCGGTTGGCTCGGTGTCGCTAACCACGTCTGGGTTACTGTCGGCCGAGCGGCGTGACGGACTGGTGCAGCACCGCTGGCCGATGTAGGTGACGTGCTCCCGACAGTCGGCTAGACCACCGGGTGGGGGCCGGCCGGCGCCCGCGCCCGCCGCTCCCACCGCCTTGGGCGCCGAGCACGTGCTGCTGGGAGTATCCACAGCTGTGTTGATGACCCCAGTCTTCGCGTCGGCCTCGACGGGCGGCCGGTGTCGCCGCCGGCGCGCGCACCGCAGCGCCACCAGGCAGACGAGCAGGGCCAGCAGTGCCAGAAGGAGCGCCAGCGAGGCGCCCACCGCCGCCAGGTAGGTGGGTCTCTGCGGCGGCGCCGACTCCGAGCTGCTGCTCCCCGGGGGCAGCAGCACACGGAGTGTGTAGTTGACGGAGCTGACGCCGGCCACGTTGGTCGCCGTGCAGCGGAACACCCCCTCGTCCGTGTCGGTGGCGTTGAGGACAAGCAGCTGTCCGTGGCGCAGCGTGCCCGCCTGCTCGCTGTACTCACTGATCGCGTACGGCCGGTAGAATACGGCGTCAGAGTCGGACAGCGGCTGGTCGTTGAAGCTCCAGCTTACGTTGGCCGGCGGCTCGGCGTGCACGCGACAGTTGAGCGTCACGTTCTGGTGCTCGGCCACCTCGATCAGCCACTGGTCGGTGGTCACTTCCGGTAGACAGGCCAGCTCGGGTGGCTCGGTGTCGCGCAGCGGCCGGCCGGCCAGACGCGGCGGCTCCGAGCAGCGAGGCACCACCGCCGGCGGCACCTTGTACAGCACCAGCCAGCGGCGCAGGGGCCGCAGCCGGCAGTCACACCGCCACGGGTTAGCGTGCAGATCCACCCCGTGCAGACCCAGTGACAGCCCGTCCGGCTGCATGGTGGCCAGCCGGTTGCCGTCCAGCCGCAGCCACTGCAGCTTGGTCAGAGCGGCGAACGCATCCTCCTCGACCGTCTCCAGCTCACAGCGCGACAGCTCCAGAGAGGTGAGCTCGCGCAGGCCCGTCAGACTGGTGCGCGACAGCCGCCGGATCGGGTTACCGCTCAGCGAGAGCCGCATCAGCGCCGGCACGTCGGTGAAGGTGCGGCCCGGAACGTCCGTCAGCAGGTTATCGCTGAGGTCGAGCTCCACCAGGTTTGTCAGACCGAACAGCGCGTGGTCGTTCACCTGAGAGAGCTTACAGCGCGCTAGGTAGATGCGCTGTAGGTTGATGAGCCCCATCCTCTGGAACTTGTGGCGCGCCAAGATCTGGATGTTGTTCCCGGAGAAGTCGAGCACCTGTGTGCTGGAATCCATCGCGGCGGGGATGGTCAGCAGACCCTTACCGATACACTCCACTGTCTGTTTGCCGCCCTTCCACCGGCAGTCGCACACGCCTCCTAAACACTCGGCGCTCGATAGAGCCACGGCTGCGGCCAGCCACAGCGCGGCTGCCGCCGCCGTCACGCGCACTGCCATGGCGCCGCTATACGCACTCGGGGCCGGCTCGCGTCGGCCACTGCCTGGTCATAGTCGCACCAGCGCAGTGCGGTGGTGAGCGCACTCTTTCAGTGACTCGAAGGTCACTGAGTCGGTCACTGGCGACCACTGATTTTTCCACCGACGGTCACTGATGGTCACGCTGACCAGTGGTCACCGGCTGTCACTGGTGATCGGTCACGCCCACTAATAGTGGCCACTGATTGTTACTTATACTCACTGATGGTCACTGTTGATCGTACTGATCACTGATTGATTCTGCTCGTCACTGAGGGTAAATATGTTCACGCTCGTCCAGCCATTGATATTCTTACCCAGGCTATCACGCCACTGTCACTTCACTGTCACGCTGTCACTGTCACTGACAGCCGCAGATAGCCGACTGTCGGCTGAGCGGGCCTCGTGCTGTTGATGCAGAGGGTCCTCACTGGGATGGCTTCAGCTCAGCTTCGCGGCTCACTCGGACGGTCTCAGGCAGCATGAAGTGCCTCGTGCGGCCACTGAAAAGAAAGAAACATGTGTAAGGTTCGCACGGGTTTCGGTTCTGTGTCGGCGTAAATGATAGTTGACGTGAGCTGACGGCCTCACCATTGAACGGCTTCCCCGTCCGACCGACCCATCATTGACCTGAAATGCGGTAGCAATTTCATTGGTTTCCATGCCAGCAGGCGTGAAAACTCAATGGATTACTTTTCCGAGAGTGATTGGTCGCCAGGAAGGCATCTTCGCCCACGCCGAAAAATGTAAGGATACGTGCTGTCAAGATCGGCCAAAGTAGCTGCTGTCATATCAAATGACTTGACATTTCTCAGATGTGATGTTCAAGTTTTCATTCAGACATTATTCTTTTCAAGCTTGGTTGTGTCGTGTTTGCAAATTGATTCAGTAAGAGATCATAAGGAGTTATACCTTCCACATTTTTGTATGAAAGTACCACGCTGGAAAAGCATACGTCAAGACCATCGATTTAAGCTGATATTCTTTTCATAGTGTCTGATAATTTACAGTCTGTAATTGACGTTATTTGACGGAGAGCCCGGCCTGTGGCATGTTTCGGGAGCAGCGGCCGTGACCTTCACCGGTCGCCCACCCAGCCCCACCGGCGCCAGTCTGCGCTCACAGGCACTTCTGCCCCCGGCCCTGTGGTGGGTATTGGCAATCATGGCCAGTGGCAATACACATCGCCCACGGATTACAGGATTTCCAAAGAAGCCCATTTGTATATTACATAGAAGAAATTAATGACAAGTGATAGGCATCTAATTAATTGTCATATTTATACGGAAGACACATTTATGAACTGTTAGATAGATGGACTTTGTACATTGCAACATAATCTGACTGCTCGACCTTGCATCTTAATTACTCACATACTACTTACCTACATTTCTGCAATAACATGCAACAAGCACGCACATGCATGAAAACAGCGTCTACAAAAAGAATCATTCACAGTTGCCACACCTTTAAATAGACGTCATATGAGCCCGTTGCTGTCTGTTATATTTCGATATTTCATTAAGCGGATCCCACAGCGACAAGCACCAAGCTCGTCCCCAAACTAGGTGTCGGCTCGCTGTCACGGTCTCTGGGCGAGTTGGTGGCAAAAGTTGGTCATGTCCCGGAGATAGTGTCAGCCGCCGCTCGGCGTGAACGTTATCTGCGGCGGTTCTGGCAGCCAACGACCGCCCAGGGCCAACCGCCGACTAGCGAACAGCGAGTGCCGACCGCCGACCAGCAAGCGTCGAGGGCCGACCAGCGACCGTCTATCAACGACCGCCGACCAACGACCACTGATCACCGAGGGTCGACCACCAACCACTGACCGCCCAGCTGGCCGACCGCCGATCAGCGAGCGCCAACCGTTGACCATCAACCAGCGACCGCCGACCAGCGAACAGCGAGCGGCGGCCAGCGACCAGTGACCGCCGACCAACGACTAGCGACCGCTGACCGACCACCGACCAACAACCAGCGACCGCTGACCGACCGCCGACGACCGCTGACCGACCGCCGACCGACGGCCGTTGTAAAACGGACGATCACCACCGACCAACGTTTTGCTGCTTCGCTCGCTGTCATTTCGCCTAAGTGTGGCAGAAACCAACCCAGTTCTCTGGATTAATGTAGCTTTATATTGTCTATGCAATTATTGCAATGTGTAAGAAGCCTACATACCAATCGAATAGCACTTTATAATTTGCATTTGGTGCCAATTTGTAGAAGAGGAAAATTGGAACACTTCTTTTGATTAGGTCGTGCTGCATTACGTCACTTCTGATGCATTGTTGAAACACAATTTAAATAAACCAAAATTGAAGCAGTGCACTCTACTGGGCCAATGCATCGGCCGTCCTATTTCAGAAGAGTGGCCCTATGACCGATGGAGTCGGCGGCATTGGTGATGAAATTGGCCTGATACACCATCAAATAATGCCGAATGGGACGTCGGGGCCTCGCTGCTGGCTACGGCTCAACTTATATCATTTGCGAGGCGAAATAGCTCATCCAATCTTTTATTGTGAAACATTTCTGGAGTTTGTATCTAGCCAAACATACCTGTAAGTATAGTGCATGCATATTCGTTCTGTGTCCCACAGAAAATATTTTGCCTATGCACCATGCATGACTGTATCATGTGTGCATCTCCATCACAAGACTTACAGTGAAATTTGCATGCTGTTGTGAGACTAATATCAAGCTCTCTTATGCGCATTGGCAGTTTGTTATCTAACTTTGCTAAATCAAAGTTATGCACTGGTTTAACGAGCAACGCCTGCCCATGATAAGATAGATAGATAGATAGATAGATAAGCTTTATTTCAGACTCTGGGTCCATACTCTTAAATACTGATGATTTCAGTCAGTGCAGTGGCAAGACAACCAAATGTCACACAAACAATCATTCGGGCCTGTTTCAGCACTCGCGCAGAGCTATGTGCTAAAATGAACGTACAGTTGCTGTTGCCAGTGGCGCCTCAGGCGAGAACGGTATTTTACACTCGAATTTTCAGTCTTTTTTACCAGCTCACTATCACATGTACTCAGCCTGCACATGAAGTTATAGATGCGCTGTCTGATGAGAACGGCACAATGAGGAACACGGTGCACGACACATGTGTGAGAAGAACTCTCGTACCTAGAAATGCCTAGCATAGTTTTCAATACCGTATGGTAAGCCACCATCAGCCGGTGCAACATACACTGGCGATAATTTGACCACAAGTGTGCAGTGTACATAGATGAACAAAACGCTGTAAAGAGACGCGCCTTTGCTGCTACCGAGCACATGTGAAAACGACGAATCAGCACATTCCCCTGTTTGTACATTTGCTTACACTGCCGATCGATGTCAAGGTCATCTGAGTAAGCATGATTACTGATGATATGCCCTAAGTACTTTACATGATCAACCTCCTTTAGAGGAACACCTTCAATGAACAGCCTTGGCAATATCAAATCTTTCATGTGTTTAGAGCGACAAGCCAGTACAACACTTTTCTTTGCATTGTACAAAATATTGCAAGTTTTTCCGAATTCTCCACACAATGAAATCAGTTTGCTCAACCCTGCAACCGACGGTGATAACAATACCACATCATCTGCGTACATCAGATGATTGATTTTCGCATCCCCTACCCAGCAACCTACATTCTGTCTATTTAACAAAGAACTCAGACCGTCCATATACACATTAAACAGATATGGGGACAATATGCCACCCTGCCTAACACCGTTCGATACCCTAAATTTAAAGGAGATGGCACCACCCCACCGGACACACATTTCCTGACGGGCGTACCAGTACACGAGTACACGAACAATGTATATTGGGACTGCTCTGTCTCGAAGAATGTCGAAAAGCCTTTTATGCTGTACACGATCGAATGCCTTGCTTGAATCCAAGAAACACATAAATACACTGCCATTCATGGACTTGTACAGATCAATAGACTGTTTCAGGAGGTATATGCACTGGTCAGTTCCCATTCCCTTTTTGAAGCCAAACTGATTGGAGGCTGTCAACAGGTGGTCCTCCATCCGTTCCAAAAGGATTAGTTCTAGCGCTTTACTCATTACGCTAGCTAGCGCAACAGGTCGGTAGTTATCTTTTGCAGTGACCTTACCAGCTTTATCCTTGATAATCGGCACCAGGACCACCGCCATCATTGATTCTGGGAGAATGCCATGCATAAGTAGTGCTGTGAAGCAAGCGGATAACTTTGACGATAAACTTTTCCCCGCATATTTCAAGTTTTCGGCCTGTAAACCATCAATCCCACTAGCTTTCCCACACTTCATTTTTTGGACAGCATCCTGAATCTCGCCTTCGGACACTCTGATATCACCTACAGACGATTCCCTGTCCTCTTCCCAGAGCGTACCATCTGATGACGGCATCGAATTGAGAAGGCTGGAGAAATGTTTCCCCCAAAAGTCAGCAATCTCACCCTCACCACACACACCGTCAATCACTGATGGTAGGGGAGTACTACTGTTACTCAGCGATCTTATTTCTTTCCAAAAAGATTTACAGTCATTGTCACATAACTTTTTGGCGATGGCTTCACGTCTCAGAACACTTTCATTTTTCTTAACAAAACGAATGGCATACTTACACCTGGCCCTGCCTCTACTGTAGGCATCAAACACTGGGCCATGCTTAGGTTTCCCTGCTTCTTGCCAAAGTCGATACAGGTCTTTCGATTCTTTGTACAGGTCAGAAACATAGTAATTCCATCCAGGGACACATTTGAAAGACTTTCTGGCCCTAGCATCGTTTACAAAACTTTCTGCCTGCAAAAGGGCGTGACATATTTGTTCGTACAGCGCTATGCACTCTGCCCTGTGTTCCTCTGAAGTGCAGTTCGGGTCAGAACATGTTATGCCTGGTGCATCAGTTGCAACACTAGTTAACAAATCCTTACATTTATCAGAGTATATCTTAAGAGATTCAGGAGATAACTGGTCCCACTTCGTGCTACTTTGCTTATCGTTTTGAACCGCAGTCATCTCTGGTAGCTGTGTGACATCCATTTTGAGCAATAGCGGCAAGTGATCACTTAATGAGGGCTGATCGCCAATTTCCATATCAGAAATAGCAGCATGTGCATCGCTACTGGCAACAACATGATCCAACCATGATTGAGTACCCCAAGCGTCGCTTACATACGTAAAACTGTCGCCAGGTAACATCGCCTGTGATGATAAATG